TAGTAGTAGTAGTAGTAGTAGTAGTAGTAGTAGTAGTAGTAGTAGTAGTAGTAGTAGTAGTAGTAGTAGCAGCAGTGCCAATAGTAGTAGTAGTAGTAGTAGTAGTAGTAGTAGTAGTAGTAGTAGTAGTAGTAGTAGTAGTAGTAGTAGTAGTAGTAGTAGTAGTAGTAGTAGTAGTAGTAGTAGTAGTAGTAGTAGTAGTAGTAGTAGTAGTAGTAGTAGTAGTAGTAGTAGGTCGTCGTCGTCGCCGTCATCGTCGTTGTCGTCCTCATTTTTGAGACGGGCGGTGAGGCTGCACGCGTTGTTCAAGGTGCTAGCCGCTATTTCGTTTGTAAAACAATGTCAAGTGGTCGCGGGGCGTCCAGACATGATCGGGTTTTTGCTGGGAATTCCATTGTTTGTGTGGTTTTCAGCAGGGGTGGTTGGGGGGGGGGGTCGGCAACGTTTTCGGTTGAAGGCCAGTAGGGTTTAGGGGGGGTGTGTAGCAAGAAGGAGCTGTGAGGACCCCTTCCCCAAATATGGAAACATGAGTTCTGGAAGAGGGAAGAGAAGAAGCGTTCCATCATCTGCGCCCAGAGGGTTGGTCGGATTAGCATGCCATCTGTTTCATTCGTTGACGTAGATCTTTTGGGGGAATCGAAAGTAATGTATCGCCACACAGCCTTGATCTGTACGCACCCATGATAGATTGTAATACCACACGTCTCGAAATACCATGCCTTGAGCCAGCTCTTGTCGCGTTGAGGGGGGGCAGCTCGCCGGGTGTGGGGTCTGTCTGCTCCGCATTCTTGCGGATGCGCCTGGCGTTCGCTGTGGAGGACCGCGGGGGAGAGTTCTTGGCCTTCCAGCGTCTTTTATACGAGAGGTCAGCGCCTCTGAGGGACCGAACTCCCAATTGCAGCCTAGGACGGGGGGTGAGCGCGAGGGAGGCGCGCCCAGGAGCGCGAGGGAGGCGCCACGAGGAGCATCGCGAGGCGCCATCGAGAGCGGGAGCGGGCGGAGCGGTGTTTAGCGCCTCGGCCGACGAGGGGAGCGCGGGCCGAACAAAGGAGCGAGGGGGGAGCAGGCGGCGCGGTCGAGCTCAGTGGGGATCCGGGGCCACCGCGCGGTGCTTTGGGGCTCGGGTCCTTCGGCCGGGGGGCTCCTCGGGCGGCTGGGGCCTCCGAGGCCCCAAAACCGTGCGGTGACGGACCGCGCGGTGAGGTCGTCGGGGATTCCGAGGTCACCACGCGGTCCGTCACCGTCACCACGCGGCTGCGGGGCCCCGGTCGAGCGGGAGCGGCGAGAGAGCAGCGGGGTGCCGCGCGCCAGCAATGCGCGGTGCCCGCGGCGCCGCCGCGCGCCGCGGCCACCGGTGCGGCGCCTGGCTGTGGGGTGCGCCCCGCGCTCGCAGCCTTCCTCTTGCTGGCGCAGGGTTGCCTCGTGATCTCTTCCTCCATCTCCTCCTCCTCCTCCCCCTCCTCCTTCTCCTCCTCCTCCTCCTCCTCCTCCTCCTCCTCCTCCTCCTCTCCCTCCTCCTCCTCCTCCTCCTCCTCCTCCTCCTCCTCCTTTGGCCTAAGGCTGCCGGTGCGGAGGAGATCTGGATTCGAGCGATGCGCCTCGCTGTATCGTCCCTCCCCGCTGGTGCTCGCCAAGGGTCTGCTCGAGCCCTCCTGTTAGGGGGCCTTTGGCCTCCCGAACGGAAATTTCAGGCCGGCCTCTGGGCGTCAGGTACATGTAAGTTTAGTGGGGCTGAGCGGGGCACGCTAGGCCACCAGCTTTATGACTGCCCCGCTGCCTTTGCCTCGCAGGAGGATGAAGAGCAGGCTGAGTTTCCGTTTCCTGACGATGTGTGGCAGCAGAGGCAGGCCTTTCGGGAGCAGGGAATCTCTCTTTTGGGGGGTTAGGATTGGGATGTGGTTCCTCTCTTGTACGGCCTCCCTCAAATCCCTGTTAGGCAGCTGCCGCCGCTGTCCCAGCCTCCTGTGCTGCATTGGGGTCTCACGGAAGGCACCTGGGGCCCGCTCCTTTTCACCGATTGCAGCGGGTTGGCGGGCGCGTGTCCCGAGGCGGCGAGGTGCGGTTGGAGCGTGGTTGAGATCACGGAGGACGGCTGGCCACTCCGAGCGAGATTCGGCGGGGTGCCAGGACCACTTCAAACGGTGCCTCGGGGCGAGCGGTGGGCTGGCCTCGAGGCGATGCGCGTGCGCCCCTGTAACCTCACGATAATTAGTGATCATGTCGGCTGTGTTCGCGAGGGACAGCGCTGGAACTCTGACCTTGAGTGCGGCCTCGCGCGCCACGCGTCGATCTGGCGAGAGTTTTTTTAGGCTGTCTGAGCGGCCGGGTTCACGGTCGTCGATGGTCTGGACTCCCGCGCATCGGTCGTTAGAGCCATTGGTCGACGAGGGAGCGTCGGCCGAGGAGATCCGCCGATTCATGGGAAATGCTTGGGCAGTTTTTTTCGCAAAACTCGGAGCTCTGGACGTCGCTGTTGCACAGGTTGTGGTCGATACCACCCAGCGTTCTGTCAAAGAGTGCAAGTGTACAGTTGAGTTTCTGTCGAGGGCGGTGCAGTTGATTTGTGCTTGTCCTGAGGCTCGGGACTCGGACCCTCCTCCGCCCAAGCCGGTGCCAGAGAGGCGCGATGTGCTCGTCCTGATCGCTCATGACCCCGTCCCCCTGGTTCCTGGATCGTCCGCGTTGCAATGTAGGCGTCGTTTGGCCGGGGCTCGGTCCCCTGCCAGTGTGAAGACGCTTTTGAAGCCAGGGGCCAAGTGTAACCCGTCGCCCATGCTTCAGGCTCTCGCCCTAGCTGTTGAGCGGCTCGGGCGGCGTGCCCAAGGGGACGCTGCGGGGGTGCTGCTGCTGCTGCCGACGGGGCGGTGGGGACTGGGACCCTCTTCGAATGTGATGGCCATAAGGTCCAGCGTTCGGGGCCACATTTTTTTTGTCGGTGCTCGTTTTGGGACTCGTGTGGTCATCGGTTCTCCCAAAATCGATGCCCTTGGGGATGTCTGCCCCTCGCGCCCCCCGAACCCCGCCCGCCGTAGAGCCAGAGACTGGCTCGTCGATCGGCGGCACCCAGCAACTAGAGCTAAACTTTAGTTGAATTCGTTGGGTCTCTGTGGCGTGTGATGGTGGTCTGACCGCGCACGCAGCACCGCTTACCTCTTAAGTCGTGCTTCCATATTCCCTTGGCTCAGAGGTGGTTTCGTGCTCGCAGGACCCAATTTTCTATGCTGCGTCCAGCGTCCTGCGTCCTGCGTCCTCCTCCTCTTCCTCCTCCTCTTCCTCCTCCTCTTCCTCCTCCTCCTCCTCCTCGTCCTCCTCAGTTCCTCCTCCTCCACCACCACCACCACCTCCACCTCCTCCCCCTTTCGTCTCTTCCTCCTCCATCTTGAAGCCTGTTGGGGGGCTGAGGTGGCCCAGCGCTGGTTTCGGGCGTCCGGGGCCGTCGGGAACTAGTATCTGCGGTGGAAAACTGATCCAGATGGACCCTGGGAGGGGTCTGGGGCTTTTCTTTGAGTGGATTTGTCTTCATCCCGCCCTCTTAGGTGATTTTCTCGGGGTCCATCCAGTGCGGACCCCCCCGTCGCCTCAAACCTCCATCCTCCATCCTCCCTCCTCTGCCCCCATCCCTCTTTTTGTGTTTTTCTCATCCTCTTTGCCCTGTCCACCGTGGCAGGGACTTCGGCGGGACCTCGACCCTCCCTCCCACAGGCACCTCAACCTCGCACAATGCAGCCCTCTGAATCACAGCCCCTCCACACGCACAGTCCTAGTTGGCACCCCAGGCACGCTTTCCCGCCACCTAACTCTTCAAACATACCTGAAGGATATGCACCCGTTCCTACGCACGCCTCTTCGATGAAAGTTGTGCCCCGTCTGCACATATACGTACTTTTGAGGTGGGTGTTTCGGGGGGATCGGTTAGGTGCCTGTTCAGAACAAGTGCCCAGCCGAACTCGACTACAATCACAAGTGCAGACACGAATGCAAGGGCGACTACGTCGACCACGGCTGTGCGCCACGATTGCGACCACATCGAAAAGCCTATAGCACCACCGCGACCAGTTCAGCACCATCAGCAGTACGGGCGCAGACAGCAGCACAACCGCGTCTGGCATGACACCAGTCAGTGACACCATCGCGACCAGCACAGCCGCCAACGCCACCGCGACCTCCGCATCAGAACTTTGCAGCACCACAACGGCCAGTATAACAACTGCCTGCAGCACCGCCGAAATGACCGTCATGGAGGCTGCCGAGGAGACCCGCATCCGCTATGGCGCTTCCACCAAGGCCAAGAAAGCGCCCGAGCTCTGTGCGATGCAGGACTTCGACGGCTGCCCTGGCAGGGACGCCTCGATGCGGCTGGCCGGCACGCGTCGCGGTCTGCCACGACGACCAGGGCGCCCAGGAGGTGCCGCACCCACAGCACCGCGACGACGTCGATGGCATCGGCGATGGCCCCTCCCACAGTGTGGCGGCCCCCTCAGCATCCAGGGCCGTGGGGTCTAGGAGCAGTATTGCGCTGATCCTGACAGCGTGGGTGACGCCCGCTTCAGGTGCGCGACCGTCGGTGTGCGCCCCAGCTGCGCGGGGAGGGTTTCGCGCGCGTGGCGTCGTTACCAGCCTCGAGCTTATATCCCTATCCCTAAGGTTGACACGCCAAGAGGCGGTGACAATCTTAGGGATGCGCCCTCAAAAACTAGCCTGGCGAAGGACCCAACCATATGCAGCTGTGAGTACCGCAATAGTGAACATCTTCTTCGGTGCGGCGCCGCCATGCCAACGCAGCCACTGGGAGCTTCGGTGGAGCTCCCTATGGAGCCACGGAACGTGCAAGGGTTGTGCCGAAATGGATGCGGCGCCGCCATGCGAACGCAGCCACTGGGGCCTTCGGTGGAGCTCCCTATGGGGCCACGAAACGTGTGAGGGGTGTGCCGAAATGGGTGCGGCGCCGCCATGCGAACGCAGCCACTGGGGCCTTCGGTGGAGCTCCCTATGGGGCCACGAAGCGTGTGCGGGGTGTGCCGAAATGGGTGCGGCGCCGCCATGCGAACGCAGCCACTGGGGCATTCGGTGGAGCTCCCTATGGGGCCACGAGGCGTGTGAGGGGTGTGCCGAAATGGGTGCGGCGCCGCCATGCCAACGCAGCCACTGGGGCCTTCGGTGGAGCTCCCTATGGGCCACGAACACGTGTGAGGGGTGTGCCGAAATGGGTGCGGCGCCCCATGCCACGCAGCCACTGGGGCCTTCGGTGGAACTCCCTATGGGGCCACGAACGTGTGATGGGTATGCCGAAATGGGTGCGGCGCCGCCATGCAACGCAGCCACTGGGGCCTTCGGTGGAGCTCCCTATGGGGCCACGAAACGTGTGAGGGGTGTGCCGAAATGGGTGCGGCGCCGCCATGCCAACGCAGCTACTGAGGCCTTCGGTGGAGCTCCCTATGGGGCTACGAAACGTGTGAGGGGTGTGCCGAAATGGGTGCGGCGCCGCCATGCTACGCAGCCACTGGGGCTTTCGGTGGAGCTCCCTATGGGGCCACGAAGCGTGTGAGGGGTGTGCCGAAATTCGTGCCGCGCCGCCATGCCAACGCAGCCACTGGGGCCTTCGGTGAGCTCCCTATGGGGCCACGAAACGAAACGCCATGCCACGTAGCCACTGGGGCCTTCGGTGGAGTGGGGCCACCGTGTGAGGGGTGTGCCAAATTGGGTGCGGCGCCGCCATGCCAACGCAGCCACTGGGGCCTTCGGTGGAGCTCCCTATGGGGCCACGAAGCGTGTGAGGAGTGTGCCGAAATGGGTGCGGCGCCGCCATGCCAACGCAGCCACTGGGGCCTTCGGTGGAGCTCCCTATGGGGCCACGAAACGTGTGAGGGGTGTGCCGAAATGGGTGCGGTGACGAGGGAGGGGGCAGCGGGAGGGAGGAAGGAAGGAGTGAACGCGGGGCGCTGTCTCTTCAAAACGAGGACCCAACACCACAGGATGGTTGGGAATTCATGGAATCCCTAAGATTGGCATCGTGATGAGGAGATGCTCAGCATAGGGATAGGGATATGTTTCAGGCTGGTAACGTCGCTGTTTTCTTCGACCCTCCAGTCTGGGCGCTGATCGCGGAGTGCGGAGACGCTCTTTCGGCTTCCTGGCGCCGTGAACAGCTCGAAAGTCACCTCTGTGGAGTCGCCCGCCAGCGAGCCCACGAGTCAGGAAGTGACTGCGGGTCGTATACGGGCAAATGAAGACCGACACAGGTCGCAACTATGCTGGTCAAGGACATCTGTAGCATATTTACACATTTTGCGGTATTGCGCTCGGCTAGGCGATGTTGATGCACGATCCAGCGGCGATGTTTTTAGATCCTGGACTTCACTCTTCCTGCGGCCGCG